TACTCAGTTGGACACTAGTGCCAGGCAAGTCCAAAATTGACTACCAGGAAGATGGCAGGGCGCTCGCGCTGCTCCCATGTTGTGCTCCCACCGCTCCTGCATTGCGCTCCCGCCACGGCCTCTGTAGCCAGAGCAGCCCCGGCTGCCTCTCACCACCCCTGGCACTCCCGTCTCCTGGTCACACCGCAGCCTGCTCAGTCTCTCTCCAGCTCGCGGTTCCAGCGGTGCCCGGGGCCGGGGCGGCAACAGTCCCCTCCCCAGCAAAAACCGCAGTCGCCGGACCCCGAGTCCTGGTGGCGGGGCTGTGCGTCCCGGCCTGGCGCTGAGGGCAGCAGCAGCAAGGCCGGGGGCCAAGTGGCAGCTGCTCCCCGCGGCTTCTTCCCAGGGAGGATTTTGTAAATTTCACAAAATGGGACGCCCTCCAAGCCTCGGTGCTTGTATTTTGAGAGTCCCCTTCAAGGTCTCAGCAGTCCTTCAGAGCAATCCACCTGGGTAGTAACAGCTACCCCTGGTGCAAGCAAGGACACTAGAGATTCTGACTCACCATCAGGCTTTCTGAGTTCCTCTTCTTGCTGGTGGCGTCTGGGATCCTGCCGGCGCCGAGTGGCTCACTCCCTTCCCGCCGCCATTGAAAATATTTGAATCTGGTTTTCTAAAGCAACAGTTTCATAGACTAGGAAGTCCGAAGTCCAAGAAACACATCTGGTGAAGGCCTTCTTTGGTGGTGATTTCAGAGACATAGGGTATCACATTGTGAAAATGGTGGAGCAGAGAAAGAGAGAAACTCTCACATTCTCCCCTTTTAAAGTCCTCAGAACTACACTCATGACCAGCATTATTAATCCATTCATTAGGGCATGGTCCCCAGAATCTCTAAATAAAACATTATTTGAATTAATTTCATCTGTTTCTTTTCACTTTTTTTATGTGGCTACTAGAAAATTTTAAATTACCCAAGTGACTCATATTACATTTCTATATACCTACTAGACAAGACAAACATCTTCACTGTAGCCCAGCTCCACATGTTGCTGGAGCAGGATAGTATCCTTAAACAAGTTATTTAATTCAGAAGCACGTACTAGGTTGGAAAAAAAAAAAAAAGCTACGTAAGCTCTCTGAGCCTGAGTTCCTCGTCTATAAAATGGGGAATCATAACAGTATCCACTTCACCGTGTTGTTATGAGAATTAAATCAACTTAAATAAGATGACAGTTTGCAAAGCTTTAGCTTTGCCTCTGTGGTATCTTGCAAGCCCCCGATAAAGAATAGTTTGTAGAATTATCATTCGTTGGCTACCCTTGCTCTAATTTATTGTATTTGGGAAATTTCTGTTTTCTTGCAGTTTCTGTCTAACTGTGTAGTTGGGGCTTCACTTGAAGAAATTACAGAAGAAGAGGAAGAAGAAGATGAAAATAAGCCAACTCTCCTTGAAGCCTCATCAGCCAAACTGAAAGAAGGCACGTTCCAGATTGTGGGCACACTTTCCACACCCGAAAGCCATTGGCCCAACTTTGCTGTGGAGACATATTCTGTAAGTCCAGGTGGGTTTTGCTAGGAGTAGACAAAGGGAAGAGTCACCTTTCATTGTGACACCTTTACAACATGTTACTCTTTCCTTCTCATTCCTTCCCTTCTGCAGATGTGGGGAGAGGGTGTAGTGAGGGGCAGGGCTGGGCTCTTGTCTTACTACTGTGGTGGAGATCAAGGACATTTTCTACACATTAAATTATTGGTGGAAGTTAAGACTTTAAATTAGACATTCTTGGAGAGGATGGATCGACTTGGACTTTCACACTCATAAAATTCTTCTCTAGACTGTGCGTAAAGCATATTCTACCCTGCATTACACAAGACAACTCTGTGTTATGGTGGGTGTGACTTGTGAAAGTGAAATATCCTTCAGTAAAAAACCACTTACTTATACATGACACGTTTCTTTGCCCCTCATGGATTTGTCACCCCACTTGCCCTGGGTGACAGAGATGAAAGGATTACTCAAAGCCCATCTCTTCTGAGCAGTGAGAGACCCCAAAGTGGTTAATCTCCTGCCAGAACCCTCCAGTGAGAGGCAACCCTTCCTTGGGAAATTAACCCCGAATTGGGATTCTCTTCCTGCATTTATTTTCCAGACCAGGAAGTTACAGGAAGAGAACATAGGTGCGGTTATAGTTTAACAATATAGGCTGGTAACTTTCAGTGAAACAGGTCAGATGACATTCCATTAGACAATTAAGTGATGTTACAGCAATTTCTCAGTATCTTAACATAACAATCAGTAACTAGTCTGTCCTTGAGCCAGAAACCTTGCTGTGCCACAAATCTTTATCTTACACCAGAGACTTTATAGCCTGAGGAAAATTTCCAGTCCTCCGTAAGGTTAATATTAGAAACTGCAAGGCTTTGGGAAACCAGGCCCTGTAAAGGACATTTGCTTTAAGAATATTCCACATCTCCCCCCATTTTATTTATTTAAAAGAAAAAGCAAAAGCTACAGATCAGGTTGGCACAGTTAAGACAAAAGCATTTAAAGCAAAGTTAGTATCATTTAGCTTGGCAAGTCCTTTTAAATTACTTCAGGTGAGGACGATGATGTCATCATCTCTCAGGGCAGCTGCAGCGGCATCACTCCAGGTGCTGTGAATTGGGTGTAATTACCAATTGTTGAAACTCCCCAATGGGATTCTGCTCCGTAAAATAGTTGATTCTGAGTGAGTCCAGAGAGTTTGTTATTGTTAATCTGTCCAGGACCTTACTGCTTTCAGAGGGTCTAGTCTTTTGTAAAATTTTTGATCAATTACAAGTCTTTTGTTTAAGAATAGGATGTCTCATCCAAGTTGCAAACACCCTCGTTAAGGCCAGGAAAATTTAGAGAACTGCTTTTGTAGAGAAGATGTTATTTCCCCCTTTATGATCAAGGCATAACTCATAAAAGCATTGATGATCAATATCTTGATTGAAAAGGTCTTACTTTTCTTTGTATAAATCTCTCGGTATTGGGAAAGCTCTTTCCCAGGTGGTGATTGAAAGAAACATTTCTGCTCACTTTCTTTCAGTGATCTGTCCATCAGGGGGAAAGATGAACAGCAGGATGAAGCAGCAGTTTAGGCCAAATTACAGCAAACATGAGAGAGAGATCAGCAACTTGGAAGTGAGAGGTGCTATCTTATATCCAAAGTCCTAAATTATATCCTGTTATAAAAAGAGAGTTAATTTTCATTGAACTTATAAAAATAGCCACATTGCCATAATAATCATAAGGATACTTAAAGTTATTAAATTTGGGGGGATCAAATAGGGAGAAAACAAATACTTTTACTTCTGTTTTAAATGACATTTTACCAAACTGTTGTTAGTTACAGATAGCGAAAGAGAGAGAGTTTTCTTACATTTGGAAAACATTAGGAGAACCAGCAGTGTTTAAAAATAAGGAAATTATAAAAACCCATAATTCTTTTAAATTAATTTACCAATTAACTTTTGTTGTTTTGACTTTTGTGAACAATTTCACAAACTCACCAGTTTTTTCATTAGAATTTTGGAACTTTAGTTAAAAGCTATGAACTCAAAGTTTGTCTGGAAACTGTACCTATCAGAGTTTTTTCGTGGAATATTTGAAGACATAACATTTTAAAATTATACTTAAACCAAGGTTATGACTGGTAGCATTTATATCAAGACACAGTTATTTAAGAACCTTACAAGATTTTGGAACACATATCTGTAACACCTTTAGTACTGACAATGTTTTCCCATATAGTCTAATTTATTAAATAAGCCAATTAGGGGCCAACCCCGTGGCTCACTCGGGAGAGTGCGGCGCTGGGAACGCAGCGGTGCTCCCGCTGCGGGTTCAGATCCTATATAGGGATGGCTGGTGCACTCACTGGCTGAGCGCAGTGTGGATAACACCAAGCCAAGGGTTGCAATCCCCTTACCGGTCATAAAAAGGCAAAATAAAATAAAATAAAATAAAAAATAAGCCAATTAGTTTTGATACATCTATTATATATATTTTAAGAAATTCCAGGGCCCTTGGAATTCCTCAAAGTTATTTTAAACTTTCAGAATTTCATGTTGGAAAGCTTTGATAAATAACAAAAGGTTTAAATCATTTAGTTGAATAAGATCATGAATTACTATAAAAAATAAAACCAAAGTGACAAAGGGTTTTAAAGGCAGAGAGCACAAGAAATTATCATGAAATAAGTTTTTAAACCAGTTATCTAAGGGACAAAGAAAACCTTTTACAACTTTGCATCAAGAGCAGTTAAGTGAAAATACCTTTAGTAAACCGGTTTGATTAGTACACCCGTTTGATTAGTAAACCCAGGCAATGATGTGTGCTGATAAGAACATTTTTATACATTCAGGTTAGTAAATAGGTGTCCATTTATCAGAGCAAATTATACAAAGCCCAGTTTGAGTTTTAGCTATATTTACCAAATACATATTTATGGTTTCCCAGCCAAAAACTTGGTGTATTAGATCTATACCCTTATCAGTTAATGCAAACTAGGGCCTATGCAATATTTGGCATAGGTTTCTTTTCACTAGCCATTTCAGGTCCCAGGTTTCCACATGGCATTTGGAGCCATGTGGAGCTTAAGACAGAGGGCGGTATATGCATGAAAGATATCATTTCTCCCAGCATGGCCAGGAGGCAGAGCTGAGATAATAAGGAGACATATTGACCTAGAGACAAATTCAGGTAAAAGGTTTGAATCAAATTTTGAAAATATATTTATCAAAACTTTAGAAGATTTAAGTCATGTGAACTTGAAAAGTATACTTATTTATATAATGAGTGCGCATTAATTATAAATCAATTTGGTACCTTGAGCATAACACAATTACACAAACAGACATGAACATATAGACATAACATACATCTTACACATGCATATATGCAGACATAAACCACAAGAACAAACAAGGATCTTATAGGTTTTGTTCAAGATGTAAAAAAAAGCTCACTAGTGAAAAGGACAGTCAGGTTTAGATTCTGTTATTTCCAAAAGACTTATTGGTGAGGCCCCACCCTGCCTTAAAGAAAGCAAGATAACAAATTTACATTGTAAAGCAAAGTATGCAAGCCCTTTCAAGAAGATGCAGAGAAGGGCCAGCCCATAGCTCACTCGGCAGAGTGTGGTGCTGATAACACCAAGGCCACAGGTTTGGATCGCTATATAGGGATGACCGATTAGCTCACTTAGGAGAGCATGGTGCTGACAACACCAAGTCAAGGGTTAAGATCCCCTTACCGGTCATCTTTAAAAAAAAAAAAAGATGCAGAGAAGATTTTTTTTCCTTCTTAGAAAATAGCATAGAATTCTACCATAGGATTTTGTGAAGAAATACATAGATGAGACTAGAAAAGAATTTAGAAGTCTGTATAAAATGCCAGAAAATTTGAGACCATCTAGTTAAACAGGTAGATTTTAGTCTAGTTTTTGTTTTTTAAATGGGTTACTGAGCTCAAGAGCTGAGCCACCAATCAGAGATGAAACCACTTGACTCTTGAGGTTTTTAGGAGAGCAGTAGACCCAAAAGGGGTCTGGTTGGTACCATGGTTGCTTTTCTTCATAAAGCTCCAGAGTCTTCAAAGAATAAGAGTAGCACATGCAGTTGAGAAAAGAACCACTGCTTTTAAGAGAGGAGAGAAGCATTGTGCAGATAAGAAGGAAAAACATGCTCAAACAATACCAACACTGTAAAGAAATATTAACTTCTTTTACTTTAGATTGTCCAATTTAAAGTTCTCTCAGTCACTGGCAAAGATTAAGTTTTATCCTTTTTTTTATCCTCTTCGGGTTAGCCAGTTGGTTAGACTGTGGTGCTGATGACACTGAGCTCCAGGGTTTGATCCCTGTACCAGCCAGCTGCCAAAAAATAATTTTTTTTAATTAAAAAGAAAGATCTTGCTTCCTCTATCAGTTAGGGCTGTTTGTGGGTTAGCCAGTTGGTTAGACTGTGGTGCTGATGACACTGAGCTCCAGGGTTTGATCCCTGTACCAGCCAGCTGCCAAAAATAATTTTTTTTAATTAAAAAGAAAGATCTTGCTTCCTCTATCAGTTAGGGCTGTTTGGGGCTAAGTAATAGGGGAAAAAATAACTAATAGAAAAAAAAGGCAAGGCAAACTATATTAATAAATAAGGAAATTCATCAGCTTATGTAGCTGGCAGCCCAGAGGTAGAATGGTTTCAGGACTGATGTGATCCAGGGGCTCCAGCTACTTTTCCTGCCCTTTCTTGAGCTCTGTCCTCCCCTGGAGGTGACTTCATCCTCAGGCTGGCAGCAAAGCTGCAATAATCCAGGGCCTTAGATTCATACACAATGACATCCTGATGAAGAAAACTTCCAGAAGGTCTCAAAGAAAGGAGGAAGAACAACCCCAGCAAGCATCTCCTTGAGTCCCCTGTCTAGAATTGAGTTATATGCCCTTTCCTGAACCAATTACTTGCCTTCAGATCAATAACACTCATCCCCTAGGCCAAAGGATGGAGTTAATTATCCACAGGCTGCATAGAGCAGGATCTGCACAAAATTGGGGTTCTGGGAAAGAGGAAGAGGAAGTAGATGTTTGTAGACAACCAGCAGTGCTCCTTACATCATTCCTCATGCACTCACCCTCCACCAAAGCAGAAGGCCTCGGGTTGCTGTGGGCTCTTCCTTCACCCTTGCCTCCCACATCTTAGTGCTCGTGGGATCCTCAACCCATCTCTTTGATAGCTCTCTAAGCAGCCCCTTCTTCCCATTCCCATAGCCATTTGCATGAGTTCAGATCATCATCTCTCACTATTTACCTGAATTTGACTCAGTGAACGTGTATTGAGCACCCCAAGGATCCAAGATGAACAAGGATCTCACAGCCTAGCAGGGGCTCTGCAGCAGTACAGTAAACATGATGACAGAGGTGTGCACACAGCAGCACCCAGGCCACTCTGTAAAGGGCAGTTGAAAAGTTTTCAGTCTTATCTATTGAGCCAGGCAAATGAAAGCTTCAAACTGTCCCTGCCAAACACACCGAGGTCCCCTAAGCTCCTCTGATCTTTAGTTCCCAGAGCCTCCAAAAGCACAAAGTCCTGCAGATGGCCCTTTTTGGGAGGTTGGTACCTACTAGAGATGATGGGACTGAGGCTGGGCCTCCAGTGCCAAGTAGAGCTTGCCAAGCAGATAAGGAAGGAATAAAACATCATACAAGAGGGAACACCTGGGAAAGTGTATGGCGTGCTTTGGAATAGAAAGTACCAGTTTAGCTAGAGCATGGGTGCGGGGAGCCCAGAGTAAGAAGCAAGGATAGCAGAAAAGGTGAGTAAGAGGGAAAACATTAGGCTGGTCCAGGTTGTAAAAGTTGCCTCCACCAATACATATGCTCAAATCTTTCCCACTGTAAAACACAGCAAACAATCTGCTATGCCCTGGGCATTCCAGACTCTTCTAGGTGAGCTCATATTAACCCTTTCAACCCAACTCAAATGTCAACTCCTTTGAGACATAATCACATCTTCCTCCTAGTTCGTCAAACCTCAAATGCACCTCTGTGATAGCCCTTTCCATATTTGGGGCTGCCACATCAGGCTGTGTAGGTTGCATACTGCCACAAGGGTACCTGGCTAAAGAAGTGAATAGGGGCTGAATGGCAGCCTGTTCTTTTGGCTACACTGCACCCCAGAGTGTATGCCTTCTTATAATTTTTCCACCAAGAGCATATTGCCTTTTTCTAATTTGTACAAAGGCTTCTTGTGTGCTTAGTTGTGTCCTTGTCTACATAAGACTATAAAGTTTTCCCAGCAAAACATACACACACGATGCCCTGTAGTATCAGGACCTGTATATTATTCATTTTTGCCTCTACCCTCAAGGTGAAAAGCAGGGCCCACAAATGTTTGTTGGGAGAACAAATAAATGCATGAATGTGGTCACTCAACATCTGGTCAGGATGACTATTCTCTTGAAAATTCTTCATCTTCTTTATCTTGGACTGCATCTTGATTCTTCCTGTTCTTCCAGTGTTCTTTCTTCCTTTTGCCTGTGTGTCATTCCTAAATCTAGATCACTGCCAGGTGTACTAGGAGGGTAATCCTTTCACACAGTCATGCTATTGATAAGGCTAAAATTGATGTTTGGATCAACATTGTCAGAGTGTCTTCCCTCTTGCGCATTCAGCCCTGAAAATAAACTGAATGGCTGGTGTTATGGGTTGAATTTTGCCCCCCAAAAAAGATATGTTGATGTCCTAATCCCTAGTACCTCGGAATGTGACCTTACTTGGAGATAGAGTCTTTACAGAGGAAATCAAGTTAAAAGGTCATTAAGGTTGGACTGTGATCCAATATGACTGGTGTCTGTGTCACTGGTCTGTGACACATTTGTTTTATAAAAAGAGGAAATTTAGACACAGACATGTACACAAGGAGAATGCCATGTGAACATCAAGGCAGAGATCAAGATGATGCATCTATAATAATGCCAAGGAATGTCAAAGACTTCCAGCAAACCACCAGAAGCTAGAGGAGAGACCTGGAGCAGATTCTCCCTCACAGCCCTTGGGAGGAACCAGCCCTGCTGAAACCTTGGTATTTCAGCCTCCAGACTGTGAGACAATAAATTTCTGTTGTTTAGGGCACTCAATTTGTAGTACTTTGTTTTTTGTTTTTGTTTTTTGTTTTTTTCCTTTTTTGTGACCGGTAACAGGATCGCAACCCTTGGTGTCGCGCCCGCACCGCGCTCAACCAGTGAGCGGACCGGTCTCTATATGGGATCCGAACCCTCTCCTGCCGCGCTCCCAAGCGCCGCACTCTACCGAGTGCGCCACCGGGCCGGCCCTGTAGTACTTTGTTAAAATAGCTCTAGCAAACTAATGCAAATGGTGCAAAAGGACTTAGAGAATAGGGCTGGAGAAACTAGCAGGCCAATGTATGCTGTTGAATTTAACAAGGATGTGTTAACCTCACCAAGGCAGTCCTGTCATTTCCTAAGGAAAAGCATCTACTTTCCTTTGTTCTCCAACCAAGTTGTGTGGTATGAGACCAAGTTTGATTTGAAAAGTTCTTCTTTAATGCAGCTGGTCAAGGAAATATCTGATGCCGGGGACAATGGAAATAACAACAAATGCAAATCTTGGTTTGGAAATCCAGGGTCTTTTTATGGTTTTTTGTTTGTTTGTTTGCAGCTGGCTGGTATGTTGACCAGAACCCTTGACCTTGGTGTTATCAATACTGAGTCGCTATGGTTATCTTAGTACTCACCCATGCTATTGTCCTGTTGGGAAAAGTGCTGGCATCCAAGCAGCAGTGAATGATTAGTTAAAACACCGTGATCACCAAAGTTACTTTTGTCTCATGTAAGAACTTTACATTTTTAACCATTAAAAGTTTCTGTACTTTTAAAATATTCCCAACGATCAACTGTAATAAGGTACCTTTCCTCTAGAAAGAGAACAGATTAATTCCATCTTGAGGATTCTGAAACAATCCAGATTAATCACTCATCAGCACTTCTGAGTGATTCATGATATATAATTTCTCAAATAATCTTACATAGAGTTTGAGTTAGCTTTAAATGCCTCATTCATCTTCTTCCAGTGTGTTCTAATTCTTCCCTTCTGAATTGGAGTTTAAACAGCATGCATATATAGTACCTAAGATCATTGTGCAATTTTTTAATTATCTGTTCCAGGCTATTTTCACAAACTTCTCTGTTATTTGAAAACTATACACAGAAGAGAGCCAAACTTTCATTTTAAATAGAAATCCTTCTGCAAGCATTTCCTGTGGGACTCTTCAATGTAGCATATCTAATTTGGAAATTGACATTCCACCTAAATGTTAAGGTTACCTTGTTAGCTTCTTAAAGCAAATGACTGTCAATTTTCTTTTTCAGGCCATCTCTCGAGAAGACCTTCTTATGCGCCTGCTGGAGTGTGATGTTATTGTTTATAACATCACTGAGAGCCATCAGCAGGTGGAAGAAGCCATATGGGCAGTATCTGGTCAGTGAAGTGCACTCTTTTATCCTCAGGGATGCTATTTTTGTGCAGATTGCTTTACCTAAGAGTCATCTAATGAACACTAGGCAAATTAGGGCCATGAAAAAACTGGTCTGAGACTTACCTAAATGTATGAAATCCATGCTAATGAATATGCCTGTGAATAGGTACTTCTGAAGAATGGAATATTTTTAATCATCAGAAGAAAGGAGACATTAGCTTTAAAATTCGACCTTGATTCATTCCACAAGCACTGCTTAAGAAGGTAGGGACAATGTACTAGAGAGATACAAAGACAATGAAAGGCTTATACTCACAAGGCACTTGTAGTCACACAACAGACCTAAGGCAGGCGTGAGAAACTTCAATGCAAGATAGAGGGCAGCATGGTCACTAGAAAGCTGTACACAAGAGTGATGTGACTGTAAGAGGAGAGGGAGTATTTCTAACTGTAAGGATTCCATCAATTCTGGGCCGGCCCGTGGCTCACTCGGGAGAGTGCGGTGCTGATAACACCAAGGCCACGGGTTCGGATCTCATATAGCGATGGCCGGTTAGCTCACTGGGTGAGCATGGTGCTGACAACACCAAGTCAAGGGTTAAGATCCCCTTACCGGTCATCTTTTTTAAAAAAAAAAAGGATTCCATCAATTCAACAAATGTTCCCTGATGGCAAAGGTCGGGGAGGGCGTGTAGAGAATGCTTGCATTTTGAAAATGCTTTGAAAAATGTAATGAACTCTTACGACCTCAGGTCTAAGAGACCTGGCATTTAGCAGTTTGGTGCTTTTGTGGTTCATCTCCTCATTAAACCTGGAGCAAGGGAGAAAAAAAATCAGCTTATCTGAATAATCATTCTGGAATAGAACAACCAAAAAGGACATTCGGCACCTTACATTTCAATACCTTCGATATTTTTGTTTTATGTAGATTAGATCAGGGGTCCTTAAACTTTTTCTGTTAATGGCTAGATAGAAAATATTTTTTGGATTTGCAGGCCAACTAGTCTGCCATTGTAGAGGAAAAGTAGCCATAAACAACATGTAATGAATGGGCTGGGTTCCAATAAAACTTAATATAAAGAACAGGCAGTACTTTGCCCCCTTGAATTAGATCAACAGCAAAGCTATATTTTGGCTCAATTTCAAAGAAACGGAATGGAGCCTCAGGAATGACTGTACCATATGCAGGGAAATGATGACAGAAAAGTACTGTCTGTGGATGTGTGGGATTCCCTGGGAGCTTAGAATGTTTGATTTTTCATTTATAACTTAGTGCCTAAATTTCATCCAGTAAGGTATACATCAAAAATATACACATATTATCAACTTTTGGAACAGAGCTTGTTTAAAGCCTACTTTCTGCATTTGGTCCCTTTGCAAATATTTACAGATGATGTATAATTGCACCACCTAAAATAATAATCCAAGCTAATGTTTATTGAGTACTTATTTTGTGCCAGGCTCTGAAAATTGATTTTTCTTATAATGTATACTTGCAATTTTCTTTAAACTTCTAATATTTTTTGCTGAAGTAAAACCTGTACACATTTTGAAAATTAAAAAGCACAACAGGGATTAGAATAAAGAGCAGCAATTCACTGCATTTCCTGATGACCTTATCCCCACTCTCTCATTTAACCTAGTTTCTTTTAATACAAAAAGATGCCTACATGGATGTCCCTTGATTGTGAATTTTGGACATGAGTCATTCCTGCTGTGACAGATGACTATCGACCCTTTCATAGGACCACCCCACTGCCCCTCAAGGGAACTTAATCCTTTCTCAAACTTTGACCCAGCATTTATTTTTATGAGCTTTAAAATGTAAAGTACATTTTACTGCTTCTGTCTTCATTCTAAAGAAGAGCTTTAAATAATTAGGAAAATTTTACTTCTCTATTTGGAGAAAAGGTTTTAACTGAATTACTTTGTTTTTGAGATATAGAGTGTGTGTGTCTACAAGAAAGTGTAGTCAGAGACCTTCAGTCTGTCACCAGAGTCACCTGGGGGACACGGGGATGGTGGGGCTGTGGAGAACAGGAGCGGGGACTTTGTCATTTTACCTGATGCACATGCTTAGATTTTGTTTTTCTTTCGGTGGATATATATTAATTTTCAATAACATTTTATCAGATTATTTTAATTGTTTTAGAATGCTCCTACCTTCCCTTTCACAGATACCAGGAAAGGAAGGCAGGATGATATGGGAGACAGGAATACATTATTAGAAATGAGAGAAAACATCTGCATATATGGGCAATGGGTCTGTTCAAAAGGGAACAAGCAGATTGTTTTAGACCCATTACAAATATCGTACATAAAAGGTCCTGCTAGAGGACCTCAAAGTGTGCCATGGATTCACAAAATAGGCCAGTCTGAAGCGCAGCAGAGCGGAAAGGTTGAAAGAACAGAATTAAAGTGAAGAGACAAGTTTTATTATTAGAATAAAAATAGAAAATAAAATTAACATTCAAAATTGGGATTAATACGCAAACATAGTTTACTTAGACTTAATGCAATAATGCTTTTTCATCTTAGGGTAGGAATCCATACATTTATTAGATTCAGGATAATAGCATTTCATTGTTTTGCTTGTTGCTTAAGGGATCACCTCATGAGACCAAAAACGTACCATGACAACTGTATCACTTAGACCCTCTGACAATTTAATTAGATTTCACTTTATAGTTTAGATTTTGTTCTGGAAAAATATACATCATGAAGAATATTTTAGTGGAATCACTAGCTGAGATTCAATGCTTAAATGTGTAGAGAGCCCTCCTGCAAAGTGACAAACGTTTTGGAAATCAAATACTCAGCTTTTTGTGCACCTCCATTCTAAGTACCCGTTCCTACAGATTGTTCACGACCAAGCATTCCCACCTTACCGATGCTCTCCAGCACACACTCGGCTCCCGTGGTGGAGGCCACTCTCCCCTCGACCAGATAGAGTGGGAAGGGTGGGTAGAGCCCAAATTACTCCCTCCCATGACAGCTTAAGCTAAACAGGGTTGCCTTTTTTGACATCCTAGGAGTGCCTTCCCTTCTGATCTGCATCCCTCATGTCCAACCTACTCCATGCATCCAGCCAGATGTCGTAGTGGGGAGAGCACAGGTCTAGCAACCAGGCTGTCGGGATTGGACTCTCAGTCCCATCACTTCCTCTATGGTTCTGGCAAAACTGTCCTCCATTTCCCCATCTGTAAAACACAGATAAGAGCAGTACCTATCAAAGAGTCAGGAGAATTCAGTAAAGCCTCCAAAAAAGTGAAAGCACACTGCCACAGGCCAGGAAATAGGAAGGGTCTAAACTTTTTAACTGAACTCATATGGCATCAGGCAACTGGCAGAACTTGAATGATGGGGATGGGACAATGAGGCATCAGAGGTAACAGCACCCTGCAGTTAAGTTGCTCCTTGAAGAAAGCCCCACTGGTAACTGACAGTACACACAATTTCAAAAGCAAGTTCTGCACAGATCCAAATAACCCTTACACTTTTTGGCCCTACAGCACTGAATGAAGAAGTCAGCCATTTTGAAAAGCGAAAGGTATTTATTTTAGTATCCACGGTGATGACTTGGGCACGATCCAGACCTCTGGACCCCGTAAGTAGAGCGTCAGCTTTCCCTTATGTACCATTTCACCTTTAATACCTTGTAATCTGTATGCAGTGGGAACTTTCTAAAGTGAGTTGTATATTCTTACACTCCTAAGTCCTATCCCACAGTAAGCACTCAACAGAGTCCATTGACCATAGGCACATTTAGTTCTAAGGGATTTCCTTGTTTTCTATGCCACTAAGAAAGAAAAAAATGCTGTTTATTAAATTATAGCAGTGCTTGCTTATCACTTATACTTTTTGTTTTAAACATATTAAAAGATCTCTCTTTTAGACTTCTTTAGATCTATCTTTTTGTCACATACATCCTTTTTTTTTTTTTTTAAATAAAAATACTTTATTGGGCAAATCCCATGAGGGTTCTAAGCTTAAGGGCCAAGCCCACAGTCCCCAGATCCAAGACTGCTCTTTGATCCCACCCTGGCCTGAAGTGCCAGGGTCTCCTGTGGAGTATGCAGGTGCCCACAAGTATGTCCATGTGATAGTGTGACACTGTAACAGCCTCGAGGTGAAGACAGGTGGGGCAGAGTGAGGTCCCCACCTGCCCAGGTTCAGGGGCCACAAGGGTCCACACAGTCCTTTCCACTGCAGAACATGTGGTACATGCTGGTGGGAGGGAACATGGCCACGGCACTGCAGGGAGCCCACCTGGATGGCCATGTCGGCCACTAGCAAGGCCAACCAGCCCCCATCATGCAGTAGGGAGCTGGCTTCCACCTTCATATATGAGAACACGCCCAGGCACAGCATCCACAAAGACTATCCCTGCAGAAGTGCCCATCATGGATGGGTGGGGGCTCAGGATCTCCAGTGCCATCAGCTAGGCTCCAAAGAGCATGCCCAGTGGAGAGAGGCCACCCACCCCTGCCAGGGACCAGCACAGCGTGGCCACGGCCAGGCAGCAGGCAAGGGAGTTGATGACACTGCCCAGCATAGCGGCCAGGTGCCCACAGGGCAAGCAGGAGAAGCTCTGCACAGCAGGCAGCACACCGTTGGTCAGCACATTGGTGATGGCCAGCAAGCCCAGAAGGCAGGCGCCATGGGCCCAGAGCAGCCGATGGGCTTCAGGGTCTGGGCCAGGGGCGGTGCCCGCCACATGACTCAGTGGTTCCTGCAATGGTGAGGCCTCTTCTTTTTCCTTTGCCCCATACATTCTTGTACATATATTAAAACAAAAATATAAGTAAGATACAGTGGTTATGGTATTCCCAAAACTTCATTGTCAGAGTGCAAATCACACCTGAATCACACCTACGTTCTGTCTTTTTCGACACAATTAACTCAGTATAAAACCTGCATCATGGGGGCCGGCCTGGTGGCGCACTGCTACAGTGCGCCGCTTGGGAAGCGCGGCGGCGCTCCCGCCTGAGGGTTCGGATCCCACATACAGACCGGTTCCCGCTCACTGGCTGAGCGAGGCGCGGGAGCAACACCGAGGGTTGCAATCCCGTTGCCGGTCCCCGGTCCGGTACGGGGGCAACACTGAGGGTTGCGATCCGTTGCCGGACAGGGAAAAAGACAAAAGACAAAACAAAAACAAAAAAAAAAACCCTGCATCATGTAATTTACCTGTAGGTACTTTCCTATAAAGCATGTGGTTATTACATTGCAAGAAAAAGTGGACCGTAGTCATTATTCCACCATTGCTTATTCTCTTTACTAACATCGAACTGACATTTGCTGCTCCATTTCTGTGCTTTTGTACCTATACAATACCTTCCACTTCAGTGCTAAATCACAGTATAAACTTTTAAAAGACATTTTAAAAGGCAATTAAATCAACATGAGTAGTACCTAAATCAATGTGAAGTGATGACAATATGAACAGCGTGTTCAAATCACCCAGGCACCAGCAATGACAACGTCAATGCTTCCTGTTTGACCATATTGATTATAAGCCATTGTTTACAAGACACGTTGTAATTTCAGAGACATTAAATGTGAAAAAAATGCATATGTTGGAATCATTGAAAAATATTATTTTTAACAAGGAAATATTTAGGGACTTATCTCTTGTATTGTACCAAATGCCATTTATTTGTTTAGTTGTCTCTCCCTTGGTGGACTGAGAGATCCCTGAAGGCAGGGACCACAGGTTTTATGTCCTTTTTTGGTAAAGTTCACTCACCTACTCCATTTAGTTGCCATCACCTCAAGGAGCAGGTCAGGTAATTTTATTCCTATTAAGTTCCTTCCCTCTAGTTAAGTGTTTGCTACATAACAATCATTGGGCATCCAGGTAGCTGACCATCGTGCTGGCTTTGTGACTGATTTTCCCCAGTAACTTAAGCAAAATGGGAAATTGACTGACTCATAATTGAAGATCACTATTGAACTTCAGGCAGAGATGGATCTAGAGGCGTAAACAATGTCCTCAGTGCTCACTTACTCTTACCCTCTTCTATTGCTTCTTTTCCTCTCTGAGTAGGCTTCATTCTCCAGTAAGCCCTCCCCTCCTGACTCCCAGAGCTTTAGTTCTCTTCTCACTTAGGTCATGTTTCATCCCAAGACTGGAATGTGCTGATTGGCTAGGTCTTAGGTCATAGGCCTCACCTTGAACCAGCCACTGTGGCCAGGAGAATGTAGTGCTCTGATTGGCCTGACTTGCGATCATAGAACTCACTTCTAGAGCCAGGAATGATCAGCCCCCTACACTAAACAGACTGAGAGTGGAAAAGCGATAGTTCCCCTGAAAAAAGATGTGGAGAAAGGGCTCCTGTGATAGCTCCTGGGTCCTTTTGGCATGCCCCTGTCCTCTCACTTGATTTTTTTTTTTTTCCTTTTTGTCGTTTTTTCGTGACCGGCAACGGATCGCAACCCTCAGTGTTGCGCCCGTACCGGACCGGGACCGGCAACGGGATCGCAACCCTCGGTGTTGCCCCCGCGCCTCGCTCAGCCAGTGAGCGGGAACCGGTCTGTATGTGGGATCCGAACCCTCGGCGAGAGCGCCGCCACGCTTCCAAGCGGCGCACTGTAGCAGTGCGCCACCGGGCCGGCCCCTCTCACTTGATTTTAATTTGAATTTTCCTACTGGCTAATGATGATTTAAAAGTTACATTTATTAAGGTATAATTTACATACAGTAAAATTAACCCTNAGAGCAGTACCTATCAAAGAGTCAGGAGAATTCAGTAAAGCCTCCAAAAAAGTGAAAGCACGCTGCCACAGGCCAGGAAATAGGAAGGGTCTAAACTTTTTTTTTTTTTTTTTTCAAAAAGATGACCGGTAAGGGGATCTCAACCCTTGGCTTGGTGTTGTCAGCACCACGCTCAGCCAGTGAGCAAACCGGCCATCCCTATATAGGATCCGAACCTGTGGCCTTGGTGTTATCAGCACCGCACTCTACCAAGTGAGCCACAGGCCGGCCCAAGACTTTTTAACTGAACTCATATGGCATCAGGCAACTGGCAGAACTTGAATGATGGGGATGAGACAATGAGGCATCAGAGGTAACAGCACCCTGCTGTTAAGTTGCTCCTTGAAGAAAGCCCCACTGGTAACTGACAGTACACACAATTTCAAAAGCAAGTTCTGCACAGATCCAAATAACCCTTACACTTTTTGGCCCTACAGCACTGAATGAAGAAGTCAGCCATTTTGAAAAGCGAAAGGTATTTATTTTAGTATCCACGGTGATGACTTGGGCACGATCCAGACCTCTGGACCCGGTAAGTAGAGCGTCAGCTTTCCTTTATGTACCATTTCACCTTTAATACCTTGTAATCTGTATGCAGCAGGAACTTTCTACAATGAGTTGTATATTCTTACACTCCTAAGTCCTATCCCACAGTAAGCACTCAACAGAGTCCATTGACCATAGGCACATTCAGTTTTAAGGGATTTCGTTGTTTTCTATGCCACTAAGAAAGAAAAAAAATGCTGCTTATTAAATTATAGCAGTGCTTGCTTATCACTTTTTTTTTTTTTTTAAAGATGACCGGTAAGGGGATCTCAACCCTTGGCTTGGTGTTGTCAGCACCATGCTCAGCCAGTGAGCAAACCGGCCATCCCTATATGGGATCCGAACCCGCGGCCTTGGTGTTATCAGCACCGCACTCTCCCGAGTGAGCCACGGGCCGGCCCCTTGCTTATCACTTATACTTTTTGTTTTAAACATATTAAAAGAGCTCTCTTTTAGACTTCTTTAGATCTATATTTTTGTCACATACATCTTTTTTTTTTTTTAAATAAAAATACTTTACTGTGCAAATTCCATGAGGGTTCTAAGCTTAAGGGCCAAGCCCACAGTCCCTGGCTCCAACACTGCTCTTTGATCCCACCCTGGCCTGAAGTGCCAGGGTCTCCTGTGGAGTATGCAGGTGCCCACAAGTATGCCCATGTGATAGTGTGACACTGTAACAGCCTCGAGGTGAAGACAGGTGGGACAGAGTGAAGTCCCCACCTGCCCAGGTTCAGGGTCCACAAGGGTCCACACAGTCCTTTCCACTGCAGAACATGTGGTACATGCTGGTGGGAGGGAACATGGCCATGGCACTGCAGGGAGCCCACCAGGATGGCCATGTAGGCCACCAGCAAGGCCAACCAGCCCCCATCATGCAGCAGGGAGCTGGCTTCCACCTTCATATATGAGAACACGCCCAGACACAGCATCCACAAAGACTATCCCTGCAGAAGTGCCCATCATGGACGGGTGGGGGCTCAGGATCTCCAGTGCCATCAGCTAGGCTCCAAAGAGCATGCCCAGTGGAGAGAGGCCACCCATCCCTGCCAGGGACCTGCACAGCATGGCCACGGCCAAGCAGCAGGCAAGGGGGTTGATGGCACTGCCCAGCACAGCAGCCAGGTGCCCATAGGGCAAGCAGGAGAAGCTCTGCACAGCAAGCAGCACACCATTGGTCAGCACATTGGTGATGGCCAGCAAGCCCAGAAGGCGGGCACCATGGGCCCAGAGCAGCCAATGGGCCTCTCAGGGTCTGGGCCAGGGGTGTTGCCTGCCACTTGACTCAGTGGCTCCTGCAACGGTGA